TTTTCTGCTTCCTTTTTCTTCTCTATTCCCTCCTTCATAAAGCAATCATGTCAGTCTTTCATGCCTGTCAGATAGGAACAACGAACAGCAGGCTAGAAGCAGGACTCCCATCCAATGTGATGGTGGGCCTTTCAGGGTAATTGACTTTTGGAGAATGAAGAATTGGTCTAGGGTAGATGATTCTCCTATCTACTGAGATTTATAGAACACTGGGACTGCCTCCGTGTTTCTGTGAGGAATTCTTACATCCCTGGGCTCTTTATGAGTTGCATACATGCATGTTAATACTCTGACTAAGAATTGTGCCTTCAAATCTTTGAATTCACAGCAGACCATGACCAAGTCACTTTTGACCTGCTCTATCATTTTCTATTTAGTTGCAAAACTGAATATTATTACAGACAGTTTTTGATAGGTCACCATGTATTCTGTCGATTGTCATCATATTCCAAAAAAATAGCTTACCATGCAGAAGACTCAGTAGTCACTTGGTTACCAGAATCGATGACAACATCCGGTATGGCATTTGTGTCACTGTGAACAAATGAAAAACAAACATAAGATTATGTTGGACTGTGTATAAGAAACGGTACTTTTTTTTTTTTTTTACTGCATACGGTGCTGACTAATGAAACCATGGCGCTGGGCATACTAGGCAAGTGATTAGCCACTTGAGCTACATCTCCAGCTCTTCTGCCCTCACCATGACCTCTCCCAAACACTGAGGTTTGAACTCAGATCACCATACTTGAGCTAAGTGCTAATTTAGAGTCATGCTTTTGTCTATACTGGCTTACTCAATGATCTCACTGTTTGTGTTCAGGATAATCTGGGAACTTTGTTCCTGCTGGTTAAGTACTCAATTTAGACTCACACTTTTGTCTCTACTTGCTTATTCAATGATCTCCCTGTGTGTGCTTTCATCATAATCTGGGATGGATGGGCATGCGACTGTCTCACATCGATAAACCTATCTACTCAGAGGCTGAGTCTGGGAATGCCTAGGAGAGTCCATCTCCAATTAACCTACAAAATGCTGGGCTGAAAGACTAGTTCAAGAGTTCCATCAACCATAAGCAAGAAAGCAAACTAGGCACAAGGCTCTGAGTTTTAGCCATAACAGACAGACACACACACACACAAACACACACAAACATGCTGACACACATTTATCTTTGTCATTTGGAAGGTACTTTGCTTATAATAATCTTACTACAATCCATCAAAATATATACTACTTATTCCAATAGGATCTCATACAAAGGCTGATAGCTTTCTAAGGGTTTTCTTATGAGCTCACTAAAATAGCAAGGAGTTTGTCTTCTGACTGGCTTCTCATTCCTTCACCTAACTTGGAAAAGAGAGGAAATATTACAGATATACGACACACTGCCCCCCTTTTTTTTTTTTTTTTTGGTCGGCCGTGGGGCTTGAACTCTGGGCCTGGGCGCTGTCCCTCAGCTCTTCAGCTCAAGGCGAGCGCTCTACCACTTGAGCTACAGTGCCACTTCCGGTTTTCTGGTGGTTTTTTGGAGATAGGAGTCTCACGGTCTCTCCTGCCCGGGCTGGCTTTGAACCGTGATCCTCAGATCTCAGCCTCCTGAGTAGCTAGGATTACAGGCGTGAGCCACCAGCGCCCGGCTACTGCCCACCTTTTTTATATAGTGCCCAGAAATTCGGGTTTAATATCTGTGTATCTTTGTATTCATGTATGTATGTATAGGTACATGCACACACACATATATGAGTGCATGCATCTGATCTTTTGCTGACATCTTCCAGTGTGAGCTCTATTGGTTTGTTTATATGCACATTAAACAATTATATTATGCAAAGTCAAATATGAGGTAAATTCATACCCTTACTTCTTCACTCAAGTTATCTACAATTCTCCTAAAATTAATAAACTGGTAGAACTTGAAAGTCTTATATACCTAGTAATAAGAAAAGGAATATTTCCAGTTATCTTGAGAAACAAGGTGTCTAGGGAAAAGTAAATGTACACATCTGCAAAAGAAATGCTTCATGGCAGATTTAAGACTATTTCTTTCTTAGGCCAGGTGCACATAGCTCACACATATAATCATAGCTGACCAGGAGGCTGAGAAATGAGGGTCTCAGTTTGAAGTCAGCTCAGGGAGGAAAGTCCCTGATGCTGTTTGTGTGTGTGTGTGTGTGTGTGTGTGTGTGTGTGTGTGTGTGTGTGTGGTTTGTGTGTGTGTGTGTGTCCTAGGGTTACAACCCAGGGCCTGGACAGTGTCTCTGAGCTGCTTTTGCTCCTGGCTAGACCTCTACCTCTTGAGACACAAAGCCACTTTCTGGCCTTTTCTGAATAGTTTATTGGAAATAAGAGTCTCATGTACTTTTCTGCCTGGGCTGGTTTAAAGCTCTGATCCTCAGAGCTCAGCCTCCTGAGCAGCTAGGATTACAGGCATGAGCTACTAGCAGCCAGCTCTTAAGAATTTTATCTACTATAAACAACTCAGAAAACAACAGAAGTGGACCTGTGTCTCAAGGGATAAGGTACTTGCCTTGAGCAAAATATGCTCAAGCTCTGCACCTTGATTTTTAATTCAAATCCGAAGACTGAAATAAAATAATAATAATAATCCTCATAATCATCATAACTGTAAGCTCAAGTTATGCACCTCTGCTCTGAGTTCAAGCCCATGCCTGGAACAAATTAATAATAATAATAGTAATAATGATGATGCTGATTATGATAATGATGCAGAGGATTAGAGGATGGGTCCACATGTTAGACAACTGTGGACAAACCACAAAACAGGAGAAACTGTTATGAGATTTCTACTGGGCAGGAAAAGAGCCAACATCAACGGCACTTTGACGTAAAACTTCTATCCCCAAGGACTGTGGAGTAAGTTGTAAGTGTATGAGCTATTTTGTTTGTGATAATATGTTAGTAAAGTCATAAAACACATGTACTGTCCATTCAAATAGGGGCTCATACACAGGCTATCTGATAGCTTGCTAGGAGTTTTACTCACTGCTCACTAAAAATAGAACTGAGGCTCTCTTCTGACCTTTGATCACCTAACTTGGAAAACTGGGAACGTTACAGACAAAGCCGTAATGCCCAATCTTTTGATACATCTCCCAGAAATTCTGGCTTAATACCTGTGTATCTTTATGTATATATACATATAGGAACG